TTTTAATATTAAAATTTATTTGCAATTAATTAATTATTAAAATTTTCATATGAAAACAAAAATATTAAAGAACAAAAAAGAAACTCTACAAGAAAATTCTTTAAAATTCCACTTTGTCATTAATTTAAATTCAAACTTTCTTCTTCTACTTTTTAATAAATAATTAATTAATTTTTAAATTAGAATTAATTATTCAATATTTAAAATATTGTGTATATTTGTGTATGTGTATGTGTGTATAAATTTCTTAATTTATACTCGTATTTATTTATTTTTGTGAACTTGAAGAACACGTTCTTAAATTTAACCAAAAAAATTTTATTGTGAAGAAGAAAACAAAATTATGCTTTTATTGCGTATATTTGGTAAATATTTTAAATTTTAAAATATAAGCAAATTTTATTTATTTATTTTATTTAAATATATCAGAGAATCTCCTTTAAAATCAACAGCACTTGAATAAATAATTAATTTATACATTTAAATTTATAATCAATAACATGAAATTTGAATTCGGAATAAAGAAAACGCAAAATTTTAAAGTGAGCGTAGACTTTTTTTTTGTATTTCTTTGACAAATTACAGCTATAGCTATAATTAGAAAAAAATTGTAGCTGATTTTAATCAATATGTTATAATATAATGGAACAATTTTACTCTATAACATGGGGTAATTTCTGTGATGTGTTTTGGACCATTATCTTTTCAACGTCCTAAAATAAATTGCATGTTCATTTTTAGTAAAATGTTTTTTGGCTCCTATATATTTCAATTTGTAAAATTGTTGAAAAATAGATCAATGGCATTCTAAATTGCTTATACATTTACTTTTTAATTAAGTTATTCTGTGAGTGGTACTTTTAATAAATGATATTGTTGGTATATAAATAAAAATAGATTTTTAGTTCAGATCTATTTGTATAAATATATAGAAATTTTAAAGTTTTGTATAGCAATGTTTGTATAGCAAATATAGAAAAATTGAAAAATAAATATACAGAAAATTACTCATTTTTTAGATAAAAAAAGAGCAAAATGCTCTCTTATATGTTGCACAGTCACTATTGCAAGTTGGACAAGCATTAAACACTTTTTAACTAAACTGTTATATTAAGAATTTTCGTTCTGTCAAATAATGTTGTCAAATTTTCATTATATTCTATGACGGCTGTTCAACTTTCACGTGTCATATGTGAAAGAATCAACACTGATTCTAACAGTATTTAAAATGTAAAAAATATCTACAACATAAAATTGCATACTTTTAGGCTTCGCATACAACTATATGAAATAGCTAACTATTGAATACAAATCCATTTTCTAACCGAATTTTTTTTTAATAAATGAAGATTACTCTAATATGCCATTTAGTTTATGCAAATCACAATTTGGTGTTCTTTATTCATATGACATGGCAATGATAGAAAGATTTAATGATTACTTTGCAATTTTTTTACAAATAATTTAAATAAAAAAAACATTCTAAGTATAAAATAAACAATTCAAAATAAATAAAGAATTTTTTTTTAAACAAAAAAAAATTATTGTATTTTTATATTTGAAAGTATAGACAAAAAAAAAATTAAAACTCGTCTTTTCCAAATCATTACCGGATTTCATTTTTAAACTTGAACTTTTTGTTTTGTTTTTGTTTGTTGAAACTCTTTTTAGTATATACTAGAGAATTCTTTTCATAATATTTTTCTTTCTTAACATAATAACCATTATTATTACTTAAGGGGTGTAGTCGTGTATGTTGGTAATGCTAGCACTAATAGTTAGTAGACTTTATGCTAATTAGGCAATTTAAATCTGTTTTTGTTTTTCGAATTTTATTTTGTTATGCTTGAAATTTGCCAACAAAAAAATTTCATTTATATTATAGAAGATATAAAGAGTTTTTTGAGGATTTCTTTTTTGTTTGTCAAACAAGTAAAAATTTTTATAAAAATAACAATATGATACTAAATAATATGACCTGACATACTGTTTGACCTACAGAGGTTTAAGTATATTTTGCAAAATTAACAATTTTAAATGAATGTGCAAACCATATTTCATATTATGATTTCAGTTTGTCTATACGTACTTGTTTGTTTTAGTTTTTTTAATTTAGCAAACATTTTCAGAATAAACTTGATCTCTTTGTCTTATGTACATATATATATATATATATATATATATATATATATATATATATATATATGTATATAATTAAATAAAAGTAGTTTAACAACAATTTATATCCTTGAATTTTTGAAGTGATCAATAGTGCAAATTAGTATTGGCTTTCAAATTTATTTAAAGAACCTGAATAAAATCTTGTGTGATTTTGTTAATTAATTTGTGCTATGGTTGTAATTTGCAATTTCGAGCAAAAATTATTATTCCTCACTCATAATTGATATTCTAATTTTTTTTAATTTTAATTAAAATAATCAATACTCATTTAATTTTCAACTCTTTAAGAATTTATTCTCTCAAATATTAAATGAGAATTGATCTTTGCTCAATAGTTGTTCGTATGAACAAAGCAATAATTCAATCTCAAATTTCGAATACAGTAATCCCTCGTTATAGTTAATTCCGCTTTAAGTCGTTTTTGACGCCGAAAATTTACAAATTTACGCAAAATGTTACAAAAAGAGATTCATTCCAAATTTTCGTTTAAGAAACATTAAATCTTTAATTTTTTGGGTTATTTATAAAATATAAAATTTATATTAGTTATAGAAAATTTTAGAGATGATTTACAGTATTAAAAATATTTATTCTCCGAAAATTCAATTGTTATGACATTCTAACATATTAAACTGATATTAGAAATTTCGAAAGAGAGCCGGTAATAAAATTGATAAAAGACTATACAATATAAAAGATAACAAAATTTTTAATATATCAATAAAATTTAGAATTTAGCAAACAACTTTTACTTACCAGTTATAATTGAGGTGCATACGAATTATTCCCATTTTAAAGAAAAGTGAGGGAATCTGTAAGAGAAAAAATAAAATTCTTACGTTATTTAAAGTAAAATTAATAAAATTAATAAAAAATGTAATAAAAAATTTAAAAACTAAGTAAGTCAAAATATAAAAAATAGTAGTTTATAAGGCGAAAATCAAATACCACCAGCTTTAATTTCACAAAATTTTCAAAAAGAGAGAGAACAATATTCAAATTTCAAAATTCGAAATTGTTAAAAATTTTAATAAATAAGTGGAATATTATAAACGTATACCGTCAATCATAATGAAAATTTCATAAGATTGTGATTATTTTTTAGGTCTTGATCTGTTCATTTTACTAGCTTTCTTCTTTTAATATTGTTATGTAAAAGCAAAATTATAGCTAATCTCAGTTCAAAAAAAACATTTCATTTAGAAAATCTTGAAACGTTGATAACTCTCATATATATAATCGGCAACGGAAATTAACGTCATCAAATTATCTTGAAAAAATTCTAATTATGTATTTTGAGATTAAGTTCTTATCTATAAAAAACTTGTTAACTGTAAAAGGAAAATTAAGCTAATGTACTAGTATGAATGACTATTGACTTTAATTTTATGTTTCGAAATCGAATTTTTTTCTATTTCCTTAATTTAACCCTTAAGGTTGTTTGGTAACTAATAAAAATTGCAAGTAATTAAAATTGCATTGATATGAATAAATAAAGTTGATAGTAAATTAAGAAGTTAATGGCCCACCAATTCAGACACGTTGTTTTTCTTGCTACCATAGTATTTAAATTATGTATATAGTTGAATATTTTTGAAATAATTGTAATTGCGCACACAAGAATTGTAATTTTAAAATAATCTTAGTAAAAATTTAAAAAAAACGAGAAAAAAAATAGAGTTGACCTTGTCAACTCTGTGATACCCGTACGAATTTGTTATTCTATGTGCGAATAACTAATGTGCCTTAACTAACTATGAGGCAGACTATGACTTTAAGTTGCCGTATTACCATATTAATTTTTGCAAAATTTCAGTACTATGTGTTTTTCAAAATACTGTGTGTGCCAAACTACCATTGAAGTTGTATGGCAACTGCCAAAAAAAGCCAAGAAATTTTAGCGAATTTTATCAAGCATTCCTCCTAATATATTCGCTTGTGTGAAATTTCAATACCGTAGCTTTAATAGTTTCTGAAATACAGTCCAATAACTTTTGAAGTTCTATGGCAGGTACCAGAAGGAGCCAAGTAATTTTAACGACTTTTATGCGACACATTGGCTCTACTAATATATTCGTTTGTGTGAAATTTCAATACCACAACTTTTATAGTTTCTGAGATATAGCCAAATAAATTTTGAAGTTGTATGGCAGCTACTCGAACCGGTATCCCGATCATTTCCAATTTAAATAGGGTTCTGGCACTTACTACAGTAAATCATTTGTGAAAATTTGGTGAACTTAGCTCAATTAGTTTTTGAGTTATCGTTCGGACGGACGGACGGACGGACGGACAGACAAAGCTAAATCAACTTAGAATTTGACGCTGATCAAAGATATACACTTGAGTCTATATCTAGGACCGTTATTTCTTAGCGTTACAAACGGTAAGGCAAATTTAGTATACCCTTCGAACATACGTTCGTACGGGTATAAAAACAATTTATAAAATTCATGAGCATGCAAAAATACGGTAGTATTAAAAGCATCTTTGACCAAATTAAGTTAATAATAAAAATTCAGTTTGAACTATCAAATTTTTAATATGTCGAATACAGAGACATTCGGTATTATCTGTCACATTCGCTACAATTTACACTTGACTTCTCTCTATATCAGCAAAAAACACAACTCAAGACATAAAACGTTAATTTTCTTTATTTAAATAGTTATTCGCCTTTTGGACAAACTTGTTTTTATTGCAAAAAGGAAAAAATCGAATTTAATTTCAAATCATAATCTTTTTCTTTATTTCCAAAAGGAAAAAATTTCAAATTTAATTAAGCAAAAAAAAATTTTTCTTCTTCATCATTTCCGGGCCAAATAACAGATTCAATCCAATCAAGATATGCAGTAACATTTGTATAAATTCCTGGAATTTCAGTACCGCAACCTCGTCCATAAGAAACAATACCAACAACACTTGGTTTTACTCGAAGAGATTGTTTTAATAATAATGGTCCACCTGAATCACCCTAAAATAATTCAAATTAAAAATTCCTTTATTTTATAGGTTGAAATTTAGATTTTCTCTTTGTTAATTTTGTTTTTTAAAATTGCACCTGGCATGTATCTTGAATTCCAGTTTCTGTTTCATTTAATTGCCTAATGTTACCTTTAACACATAATTGTGTATCAACAATTTGTTGACCTTCATAATCTTTCTCGCAAACACTATTATCAACAACTGTTAAGAAAATTTTCAATAATCTTTTTGCAAATGCACCACCTATAAATGAAAATTTTCAAAATGAATTTTCATGAATGCAAAATAACGTTTACCAAATGAAGTTGATCCATAACCCATAGCTATAACTTTTTTCGAATATTCTGTTTCCAGTTTTCCAAAAATATTTAAACAAGCGGGGGTTGCACTTAAATTTATGACAAAAAATAGAAAGGTAACCTATTCTGTACTGTATATATGTTCATAAATATTAATTTTTGCATACTCAACATGTTGACCTAATGCCAATATTGCAATATCATTTAATTCTGTAATACTATCATAATTCGGATGAATGATAACTTTTACTACTCGTATTGGTTTAGTTGCATTATCTGAAAGTGGATTCCCACCGATTCGAACAACTGACGCTGGTTCACTTAAAACATATAAAAACTTTTTAAATTTTCAGAAATGTTCGATTTCTTTTGACTATATACCCATTATACTTGCCACAATGACCAGCTGTAAGTACAAAATTTTTTTCAACTAAAACTCCTCCACAATTATAAACAGGATTGCTTGCGTTACCATATCCTATAACCGCCTAAAATTAAAATTTATTTTAATTGAAATATTTTTTTGTATAAATTTTTTTTATGTACCATAAAAGGAAATTCATCAGGTTCCGTTTCATATCCACTTAAAATTTCAAAAGGTGGTGGAAGGGGATGAAATTGTTCACATTCTTTAAAATGAAATACATATAATTATTATGTAAAGTTTTTGTTATGAACACATTCTAACTTTTTTCACTTATCCTCCACGATTCATCAATAAAATTTTTTGGTATGATTGATCGACAACAAACATATGCTTCACGATTAGCAAAACGGCATATAATTGGTCTTGTACTATTATTTTCCAATATAAATTGCGATGGATGACATTCTGATAATGCAACGCATTATCAGAATGTCAATATTTTAGCATAGTTTTAATGACTATCCTTATCAAATTTGAAATCTTTTCGATATTCTCACCATTATTTACAACAATTTGTAGAAATAAATGAATCAAAAATATTTTTATTAGAAGATTCATTTAAAATTTTTTTTGCTAAATTTAAATATTTTTACGATTTTTTTTGTTCCGTTTTTCTTGCTTAAGTTCATAAAGATTAAATTTATACTACGCTCAAAAACCGATTTAAAGCCGTTCTCAGCTTTATAATTTTACTCATTTCTCACTTTTGTTTTCTTTGGTGTATATGTAAAAAAAAATTAATTTTTAATGTGTTGAATTTTTAATCAGTCTGATATTTTTTTGCTTTTTGCAATAGCAATAATAATATAAAATTAAAAATGAAATCTTCCTGCGCACATGAGGAACACAACCAAATTAACATCGAAAAAGTGTGACACACTAATAATTACTTAAATTCGAATATAAGGAAAATAACAGAAATTATTTGACATGGCCATCATGTAATTTTCCAGTTAATTCTATTTTTATAATTATTGACAATCATTGAGCCAAATTAGTATTGTATGAAAACTACTCAAATGTTGAATTTAAACCTTAAATTTAAACTAAGAACTGAGAACAAGGTTTTTTTTATTTAGGCACAGGTTTTTCTTGTTATAAGTTTCGTATGAATTGGTTATTTATACTGGTTGTATGCAAAGGGAAAAAGATTTTGTCATTCATACATTTTGTATGAAATGTTAGTTATTACTCTTTATGTATGAAAGCTGTTCTCTCTTTGTATGAAGGAAATTGATACTCTTTTTGTATTCATACAATTTGTGGCCCAACTTCTTATTCTATATCTTCAAGAATTCTTGCGTCATACTTTAGTTCACTGCGTACATACTTGACGTAAAGATCTTATGAGATAAATAAAGATCTTATGAGTAAAAATTTTCTTATTATATTTGAATTACTCTTGAAATATAAACTAAAAATATTATGTACAATATTTTTCAATAAGTCAATAACCCGTCCCATTTCAATTGTTTAATATTTAAAATAAATTCATAAAATTTATTTATTACATAATAAATAATAAAATGAACCTAATAAAGGAAAAAAAGTTCATTTGTCATTTTCAAAAATGAAAAAAAAAATTCATTTTTTAAATTTACATTTTTCTCTTTTAATTCAACAATTCAATCATTTATTTTGTTGTACATTGTATTACAAAAAAAAAAAAGTTTTTTTGTATAGAAATTGTATTTTATGTACTCGAACATGTTCGGTGCAAAACCCTTCAATCAAAAAATATTAAAAAAAAAACAAGAAATTATTCAATAAAATGTCAAATGTCACGACTCTGGTGGTATAAAAATTCAACATTCTAATAATAATTTTTTTTTCTTTCCCATTTTATTGTATTTTTGTTTCCATTGAATTTCGTATTGACAAATTTAGAAAATCAACGAATTTTATGTGTCCATTCTCTGTTTGTTTTTTTCGGATTATATTGAAAAATTAAGAGAAAAAATTGTGCTAATTAATTTTGTTTTGTCAGTCTTACAATTTAATGTTTGAAAGATGATACGAATTTTGATATATCCGTTTTCAACATTGTCGTAATTGAATTATTGTTCTTAATATGGAAGCCGTTTACGTTGCTTATTTATATTTACTTTGTAAGATCAAAGAAAATATGGCCATACGCACTAATAAAAAGCCAGGTGAATAACGCTAATAAACATGTATGAAACGTGCATCATTCGAATATATAATAGTGATAATATAATAGTGATTATTGTCACAAATGCAAGCCTCCATACTGAATTCTTAAACTGTCAGATCATTTGTTTGGGAATCGAAAATTGGATGATACAGTTTGCAAAAAAGGGCTATTGTTCCGAATGGAGTTCATAGCTTCAACAACGAGTTCTTTTTTCTATGAAGTTTATTGGGAATACCAAATTTATTGAACAGCATAGTATGCGCATCAACGTATGTCCTTTCTAGGATATTCATGTCAATATTATTTTGAACTGGTATTGGTTGATTCTACAATATGATTAAAAAATATATGAGCTTCTTACAAATTCCTAAATTTTCTCTTATTACTGCAATTCTTAAATATTTTTTTTACCCGTTTCTGTTTGTTTTTAATTTAAACAATCAATGACAGAATGTGTGTATAGCGAAAAAAAAGCAAAAAGAGAGAAATTGTAGTGAAAAAAAAAGAAAAAAAAGTCGGTACGAAAACTTCAATTGAAATGCGCTTCCCTTTGAATAATGGTTGGATTTTTAAACACAAAAAAGGAAAAAATATAAAAATTCAATATTTGCAATTCTAAATTAATAACAATTTACTGAATTGGTTTGCAATAAAAATTCTTTGTTTCATTTTTTTAATTTGAAAAATTGTTTAAATTGTCCTCGTGTATGTATATATGTTTGTAAGAAATGAAATAAATCAAGGAATTATGAAAGTATGATTCAAATTTTCGTGAATTATAGACTGTATACTTTAATTGGATTTGAGGATATAAAATAATAGAAAACACTATGGTTTTCCTATAAGGAAACTATATGTCTCTTGTATTGTATTAGAGTTAAACATTTACAACTTAGACTACAGTCAATGTGTTAGCCAAAAACCTTGTAATACAAATGTATTATACATACTCGTATTTGTGAATGGATTCCCTTTCGTACTTGATTTATATTCAGAGGAAGAAATGCGATTTTTACACATGAGGAAGAAATGTGTTGATTTCGCCGTCGGTTTTGTTTGATTTAAAATTTAATTAATGTTTGATGTATAAATAGTCATGCAGTTTGTTTGATTCGATATGTTGTGTTGCCAATCAGACGTGTATAAGGTCTTAAACACAAAAAGTATGAACCAAATGTTAAATATGATAAGGTCTAATGTAAGTACATATTTTATAGAAAATTTAGGAAAAGAATATTTTTACCTCATTTTAAAGTCATCAAACTCATACAAAATTTTGAAATACATTAATGTTTTATGGTCCCACCATAGTTATTGTGTTGATATCAAACTGCGTTTAAATATTCTTTAGACCACTAATTAACTTTAAATATTGTAATTTAAGAAAATTTCTTTTATATTATAATTAAATAGCGTCTTTTTTATTCACATTTAATTTTATGATAATAAAATCTAAATAATAATTAAATAATTTATAACATAAAAAATTACTAGATTAATAATTGACAGTTAAAATATTGCTTTGTATACTGTTAACTAGCGAAAAGACAAATAGAAAAAGAAAAAACAAGACCTTACACAGTGAAGCGATGAGCAATTTAAATTAATTAAATACATAGGTGTAGATGACATTCACATTGATTCCATTAAATATGTACATACATAATGAATTTGTGTTCATTTTTTTCATACATAAGCTTCAAACATCTAATAATATATTTAAATGTACACAATTATGAACATGTACGTACATTTTCCGGCAATAACAATGATAATAACAATTGTTTTTTTCTCTATTTTCAAAGTAATTTATTTAAGAGAAATTGTATTTTGAGCCAGTTTTTACTCTTATAATGTCAAAAAAATATTTGTTGACAACTAAATGAGAGCACATCATGAAATTGACTAAGTAAGAACGTTAAAGAGTATTTCTAACTTTTTTCAGTATACACTTATTAAATTATATTGCACAACTACGATTTTTAAACATTTGAATTAGAATCAGCAACAATAACTCAACAATATTAAACTAGTTCAGCACATGCTTCGAAGTGAGTTACACCAAGTGATTCACTCACAGCAATCTCGCTTAATAAGTATATTTTAGCGTTTTGCTTCCTTTTAAACAGAAGCGACATGACACACAATACAAATTTTTGAGGTATTATAGATGGCCGTTTTGAGCCGAACTCTGGCCAGGCAATGCAAAGTGAATGCATAAGTCATCATAGGTCCTCAGACTTATAGATACTTTATAGTTTTTACAACAATGGGGCATGTTATATTGTAATTTCACATTCATGATATACAAAACCTTAGAGTAATCATTAATAATCAGCTTTTAATATGTGTGATATACATAATATTTTATTTTAATATATACACATATGAAAATGTATTCATACCGGAATTATGTAATATGCTAAAGTAGAATGGACTTATAACGGGAGAAAAATAAATAATAGAAATTTGAAATGAAATTGTTTTTCATCCATGTTTTTTTCTATATATAAATACACACACTTTTAAGAAAACAATTTATTATTTGATTCAAATGCAGGCTTTCATGCCAAATGTTATAATTTTACGTAATTTATTATTAGGATCAAACGTGTTTGAATACTTTTGTGTGTGTTTGTAATTGTGTGTGAATAAAAATTCACTATATTTTTGATTGTTTGCATGAACATAATACAAATGATATATTCATTATTTTATACTATATATAAATTTGTAGGTGATTGTTTTAAATAAAAAATGTAGAATGCGGCGGTTTATTGACATGTTAGTTATACGTGAGACACAATTTATGTACATATATGTGTGCATTATTTCCATACTAAGATTTATTTATTTTATTTTTTTATTGTTTTAAAGATCACATGGCATAAAATAATTATTTCGTGACTAAAAATTTAATTTAAACACATTTAGGGAAATAATTGTATGCACAGAAAAGTTATAAAATAAAATCTTTAAAATCAGGTTAAAATCTTTAAAAAAAATACCGGATTTAATAGCTTTGTGCAAGCAGAAAATTAACGTAATGATGAAGAGTTTTTTGGTCAAACGTGATTCATGTATTATATAAAGGAGATATGAAAACAATTCCGTGAAAAATTTCTAATTCAAGCACTGTTTAATAATTTCATTTTAATATTGTCAAACTTTTGATAGGAATTTTGATAAGAATATCAAGTCACACCTAATTTAAATAATAACCACTTGCTTGTTTAAAAATTCACTCACTTTTAAAGTTGTTCACTTTAAAATTGATCGGATGGGCAGTAATTTTTTATTATGTCGACAGTTTTTATCACAATTTCTTACGAAAGCTTATTTGTCCCCTCATATGTATATACATTAAAAATTTTATTTCTTATCTATGTAAGTACTTATTTACATTTTGTGTACAGAAATAATATTTTTGCCTATTTATGTAATATAATCGCACCTTTGGAATACAAAATAAAAATCTTACAATGTTGTTTATTTTCTCTTCCTTTTTCCATGTATTTATTTTCTTTCCGATTTCCAAGGGA